TCTTACGCTCTTTTTCTTTCAGCTTTCTTACAGTATTATTGCAGAAACCAGGCAGTTTTCCTCCTTTTTGCTATTTTTAACCAGATCTGCGCAAGCTTTCCTTAAGAGATTTCTTAATTCATATTTTAAAAGCTCCCAGTAATGTCCATAATTATTTTCAGATTGTGCCAGTTTTAAGTACTCTGCAATTTTAGTTTTGTTAAATGGACAAACTTGTTCTTCATCTTCCAGCATGCAGGATTCCTTTTATTGATTCTATCAGGATATACGAACATATAACACAATGGCTTTATGATCAGCGAGGGGTGCTTGAACAATCTCAGCTTCACATTTTGAAAGGAGTCCCGTATTAGCAAGAAGTCGATTCTTGAGCGTTGCAAGCCAGATTTGTTTTTCCATGTAAAGTTTGTCGTGTTTGGATTATTTACCCTCCAGATATCTATTAAGCATCTCTCATTCATAAAGTCAACAATCTGATAATTATTTTTTAGCCTGCTAGGCCATCAATCAACCTCCTCATTCACAGCGATGTTGAAATCACCTCCTAAAATTACCCCAATGTCATAAAAATTTTAACATGAGCATCAATACTGGAGTTCAAAGTTTCAAACATTTTCCTTGACACTGTTATAGCCATAAATGTTACCAACAAGAAAAAAGGAATTATTGTATGTGATAACTGTGAGAACAAGGCGACCAGCTGGGTCGGTTTTGGTGAGATAAACAAGCCACAAGGCTTGAAATACTCTGTTTATTCTTAGGGCAGCACGGTGGTGCAGTTGGTAGAGCTGCCGCCTCTCAGCGAGCTGATCCAAATCCCAGCTGGGGGGGGGCCTTTCTGGGTGGAGTTTGCATGTTCTCTCCGTGCATGCGTTTTCTCTGGGTACTCCAGTTTCCTCCCACAGACCAAAAACATGCATGTTAGGCTGATTGGCAACTCTAAATTATCCCTAAGTGTGAGTGAGAGAGTGAATGATTGTTTGTCTCGTTTGTCTCCATGTGTCCCTGTGATGGACTGGAGACCTGTCCAGGATGTACCCCGCCTCTCTTGCACAGTGATAGTTTGGCATGGGCACCAGTGACCCCTGCGACCCGTAAAGGAAGAAGTGGGTAAAGATGATGGATGTGCTTCTTAAGTGTTTAAATCTCATAAAGATCAAATCCAATAATTAAATCCAGTCTAACCCAGTTTAAATGGACTGTACTTGTATATCGCCTTTCACTTCAAGATACTTAAAGCTCTTTACTACACAATCACCTCATTTACTCATTCATACAGCACTCTACTAGATCTCTAGACTAATCAGTGCTTTGGATCACATTCATACAACGATGGGACACACATCAGAGGCAACGAGGGGTTCAGTGTCTTGCCTAGGGACACTTCAGCTGCTGGTGGAATCGAACCCCCAACTCTTACATTGGAGGACGACTGCTCGAACCACTCAGCCAGTCACCCCACAGAACAGATTTCATTACTTGTCCAGAACCCATTAAAACCAGATTAATTAGTCACACTTGTAACTAAAACATTCATTTACTGGTGCTGACAAAATACTCTGCAGGAGGAAGTTGTTCCAAATAAATCTGTTTTAATAACGATTTTAAAAAAAAGAAGCAGAAATCAAGCTATACATTTGGGAATTGGTTTTTACTTTTGACATTTTCACCACAAACAAAAATAAGAGGAGCATCGATGCTCCTTGTGACTAATATGTAAAAACACCTTGCAGTTTAATGCATAACTTTAAGAGATATTTTGTTTGTACGAAGCTAGGCGTGAACTTTCCAATCAGGACTTCAAGATAAAAAAAGAATAAAGTGTGAGGGAAATGTGATTCCAGGTTAATTACTACTGAAGTGTAATGTTACAGTTAGTGCCAACACATCAAGAAAACCAGTAAACACATCTGTGACAATGAAAGGACAGAACAGAAGGTGGTAAAGGATGGGGGGGGTCCTTGAAATCAGATTGTATGAGCAGAGAAGCAGCACCTGTGGCAAAGGCAACGAGCAAAGCAGCAAAGAGTGGCACAAGCGCGTGCGTCCAGTCAGGGCGATGGACAGCAGACAACAATCTGTGTCCCTCCACAAATCACTGATCCGCTTGCGTCGTTAAGTGTTGTCCTCCTGAGACGGCAACATCTGGACGTGCAGAGTCTCACAAAAGTCAGTTTTTCACTGCTGCAGAGGCCCAAAACAAGCTCGAGTCTGAAAAAGAGAGACGGACAACGGAATAATTTGTTCTGGCCTGAATTGTACGCTGCATCGAGAATTTCAGAGTCTTCTTCGTGAGTCTGTCTTCAGTCCATCCACAACTTATTACGCTTCTTTAGGATGTTTTTCCAGCAACTTTGAGAGGCTGTAAGTGTCTGTCCTGGCAGGTAGTCCAAGCTGAAGTCTTTGTTTCACCCCCACCCCTACCTGTCAGAGGCTAACAGCTAGCACCGAAACAAACTGTCCACTTTAACAGCTGCAGACCTGGGTCCAGATGTGTTCATGCCAGGCTCGTCTCCGAAGGAAAAATATCTAGGAAATAATTTTAACGGTAACTAAAGCCTTCAGGGCCAACAAAGTTCAGTGAGGTCATCTGGACAGTTTCATCTTTTTGTCTTTCATCCAAAGGACTTCATCAGTCCGAGGAGACACCACAGACCCAGTCCCACAAGCAGCACACTCACATAGTGGACCAACCAGTTTGCTGGTGATGAGTTTGATGTTTTGAACCACTTTGGCTGTGGCTGCCTCAGAGGAGTCGACGGGGGAGAGGGCGGACTCCAGAAACCATCTTTTCACCATCAAACTGGTTGGTCCACTATGCGAGTGCGCTGCTTGTGGGACTGAGTTTGTTGTGTCTTCTTGGACTGATGAAGTCCTTTGGATGAAGGACGAAACGTTTCAACATAAAAAGAAACCGTCCACAGAACCTGACTGAACTTTGTTGGATTTTTTTTTTTTTTTTTTACCAGAATTATTGAGCATGAACTTTGACATAAAATGTACAGGGTTACTGTGCACTTTAATATTTAAAATATGTGCACTGAAAGAGGTCCAGTGAGCACTTAAAAACAAATGCCAGGGCGTCAACATTTGTTTTCAACTACAGTACATCTTTGTCAGAAGAACTTAACACAGAAAATGGTGATTTAGATAAATACCTGCATCTGCACAAAGGATAAGATAGGAGCGCTGCATGAACAATCTAGAAGGACAATGTTAGAGTTCAGCAGAAATTTGGTCATTATCAAAATGTGATCTTTGCTTCTTTGATTTACTTTCAGACTTGTTCCTCACACTGAAAGCTTCTTTCCCCAGGTCTGCAGAGCTCAGTCCTTTGACAGCACTTGATGTTAAAACTTGGGCTGGTAAAGGGCCACGCGCCCACTGAGGCAGCCTGAGGCCAGCTGGCAGTGCGTCGGAGAGAACTTGGTGGTGAGCACCACGTCGCTGTGCGAGTAGATGGAGCGGATCTCCCGGAGGCAGCTGGTTTGAACCGGCAAGCAGTCGGCCAGCTCGCCGCAGCGCTCGTCGAAAGCCAGCAGGCGTACGCCGTAACCATAGGGGGAGCAGATGAGCCGCCCGTCAGGACTGAAGCAAAGTTCTTTGATGTAACCTCGGCCCACGTTGGCCTCCTCGATGTAGTGGGTGAGGCGGAGGGAGCAGCGAGGGGAGACCAGCGGCCGTGTGGGCGCCCCCTCCTGGAACTCGTACACACACGTCCACTGGAGAAGGAGAGAAAGTAAAAACTGATGCAGACCGTCTAAGTAACTTTAACACAAGTTCTACAGGGAGTCATGCCAGTGTTGTCATCAAGAAGAGCTTCTGCTCAAGGAGCCACGGTAACAAACACCAAGAGTCATCAGTCAGTACTGGAGGAGCAAGTTCTCTCCTTAACCAAACCTAAGATAACAAGAACAAGCACAATGACTCTGATGTTTGTTAACTCAGGCATTCTGCTTTAGTCTCTGTGCACGTGCACACAAAAAAAGAGGCATTCTGTGCATCATTTGATGCTTTGTTCTAAAACCTTGATCGAACAAATAACTACGTTCTATTTGTCAGGGGAATTTAGGTAAAGGTCATGGATGTTTATCAGTAACTAATGCTAAATTAATGTATGTGAGTTAGCGAGTTGTTTTATCTGTTCAGAGAGGAGCCTGCAGGTGCACCTGATTACTCCAAGGCCTTCTCCGAGTCTGTAAGCTGGAAAGCTGAGGTCGTCTTGACCTCGCCTCTGTCAGATCAGCGTGTATTAAAGTATTTCCTGACTCACTGTCCAGTGCAGATTATCACTGACGAGGCTCGTGCAACTTTGTACATCTGTGAGAGCCTTTTTGGACCGTCTACTGGTCCAATAAAGATTGGTTAAAATCTTCTTGTGTCCTCAGAATGGCTTATTTGAGTAAGCAGATGAAGAAAGGATAATAACACTTTTCACTCCAAGACTTTACAAGATCAAGAACAGCAGAATGCAATATTGGAAAACAAAGAATATAAAAACTATTAGAGAAAAACAAAGTCACCCCAGTTAGGAAAGTTAAAGAACGTAGCAGAAACCTGTTGAGTCCCAAAATTTTTGACCTAGACAGTTAAATGTGCTGGTGTTCCACTGCTTGGCACTGCTGATAAGATTCAGTTAAACTGAAGGAAGAAACAAGCGGTACATCGATGTCCGTCATCACTGAAGGAGTGGAATAGTGAATGTTTGTAATTATCGAGATGAGAGTTTTTCTCAACTGGAATTGAAAAGGGAATGCAAGTAAACCTTAATGTTTCTGGTGCAAGATATTCAAGTGTGTAGAAATTACACCATGTTTTTTTTCTTGTCCGAGGCGACACAGAGAAATGGATCCTGTTGAGTGAAAGGAGGTATTTTATCCACCACCAGGTGCACTGGCAGAGCAAGGGGGTGGCCACTGGTGGCCTTAGCTACTTTGACCACCACACTGGCCTCCCCAACATTTTGAGGAAACTATACTGAAACTATACTTTTAAGTAATATAAAAACAAGAAAGCGTACATTTGCTCAAGTGGTAGGGGTGGTCACTTTACATATATAGCGGCACACATCTTGCATTTTTATGTAGCAATCTAATTTTCCAAAGAAACCTTTCTTATGCCTACATGCAGCCACACATCAAAATGGAAGTCGATGTCTCACTAATTTTTCCAAGTTATCGTGTCCACAACATTAACGGACAGATTGAGGGAGGATATTTCGCAGGACATCCTTGTAAATGAGATTAATAATCTCAATGGGTTTCTTTCCTGGTAAAATAAAGGTTTAAATGAAAATAAAAAATTCCAGTTCATCTTTTTGATCCACAATGGGGGACAAAAAGAGGGGAAAAAAGTTGTTAGACCTGGGACTTAATTCAGAAAGGGCTTACCCTATTAGTGTTAACTCGAAAAATATAACGATTTCAATTTTAAAAAACATGCTGTCTGCTCTGTGGTACAGAGTCCTGATGACTCCTAACTTGTGCTCCAAAGGCTGATGGGAGTCAAACTGCAAATACTGGTCTGTGTGGGTGGGTTTGCAGTACACCTCGGTTTGCAAATGTCCTCCATCAGAGACTGAGACCTCACAGTCCAAGAAAGCCAACCTGCCATTTTTACATCTTCCTTGTGTGAACTTGATGTATTTATCCACAGAGTTGATGTGGTCAGTAAAATGTTGGACTTCCTGAGATTTAATTTGATGCCACCTGGGTTAAAATTAAATCTCAGGAAATGAAGTTGTTGTAAAACAAATGTGATGTGATGGATTGATGGGGTCCATGAAATGATATGGGCAGCTGAATTTTGGACCAGTTGTTATTTATGGAGGGTTTTCTGAGGTAGGTCAAAAAGAAGAGAATTACAATAATCTAAATGAGAGGTGACCAGACTGTGGACCAGAACAGCAGTGGAGTGAGGAGTGAGGGAAGGATGGAGACGATTAATATTTTGAAGATGAAAGTAGGCTGACCGAGTGATATTATTGACATGAGAGGAAAAGGAGAGGGTGCTATCAAGGTTGACACCCAGACTCTTAACCTGATGGGAGGGAAAGATGGAAGAGTTATCAACCGGAATGGAAAAGCTATGAAGTTTATTTAGTATTGATTTAGTGCCAATTAAAAGAAGTTCTGTTTTATTGCAATTTAGTTTAAGAAAGTTTGAAGTGAACCAATGTTTTATTTCAAGCAGACAATCAGTGAGGGACGAAGGTGGAAATGTTGAGTTAGGTTTGCTTGAGAGATAGAGTTGAGTGTCATCCGCGTAGCAGTGAAACTGAATATGATGTTTGCGAAAAATGAAACCAAGGGGGAGAAGGTAAATGATAAACAACAAGGGTCCCAGGACAGAGCCCTGTGGAACACCTGAGGTATCAGAAACAGGATGAGATATGGAAGATTTTAACTGAACAAACTGAGTGTTATATGGCAAAGCGACGTATTTATGTTTTTTTTCCACTTTATTAGACATTTTTGGACTGATGCGTCTTATACACATCATACGGCGGTGTGACGTGTACAGCGGCAAGTACGGTAATAATGAATTAAATCTGATATTAACTTGTTAATGGAAGTCTTACAAAAACTAGAGAAAATATGAAAAAAATACATCTACAGCTTTTGAACATCATGAACTTGATACGGTTTGGATATCGTGTTGCACAACCTACAGTTTTTTCTTTAATCATTATTGTGCCCCATCATGGAGCAAACTGCTAATATCCTGCGTCCGTCCGTGCATGTTGTGAGTCAGCTACAGCGTGCGCTCTCAGGACATTATTACCTGCAGTGTTCCCTCAGTGAGGACTGAACTAGGCAAAAGGGCCTTCTCCTACGCCGCTCCCGTTTCCTGGAATATCTTACAAAAAGAGCTGAAGCTCTTGAACCTTGACCTCTCTAAGTGGCTTTAAACATCTGTAAAGTTCAATGCAAAAACCAATGCAGACATGTTCCTGTTTGTAGTATTTTACATCGCTTTATAATGTAGCTGTTTTTGTTTCATTTTTTTTAATACCATTTTCTTCCATTTATTTTTCAATGTATATGCTTTTTATGTTTGTCTACTGTAGGGCTGAAACGATTCATCGAATCATTCGAGGACCTCGATTACAAAAAATCCTCGAAGCTTCGTTAAACTATTCAGAGCACTGTGGTCTAGCTGGAAGGTTTTTGTGTTACACAACGCTAGCGCTTCCGCGTGTGTGCTAAGTTTGTAGCTATGGAGGGAACGGAGACTGCCTAGAAGAAGAGCCCCGAAAACAACAAAAACTGTCAAAAGTTTGGGAACATTAGGCTAAACGGAAAAGACAACACAGTTCAATGCTTCCACTGCAAAGCAGAACTGGAGTAACCACAACAGCACGTCGTCGATGTTGCAGCGTCTGAAGAGAAAACACCCGATGTAGCATCAAACTCGTCCGCAGCTGCAACAAGTATCATGTTCTCTCTCTGCAAAATACATGAACCTAAATGTGATAATCTGTCATGTTATAGATGTAAAATGAGGCATTTTTTGCTAATGTTAAATCTACTGACAAATCATAGTGGCTACCTGGCAGGGCCTGTACGTTGTGCGAGAAAAAAAACTCTGCAGGACTTGATGCAAGTTTTGTTAACGATAAAAGCAGAAACAGACTGATGCATTTATTTATTGCTGTACTTCCATCCCGAGATATTTAGGGTGAATATTTCAAGTGTAAATGTATTTACATGAGTTAGGATTTTTTTTTTTCTTCTCGCTGCCGTTTATGACTTAAAAACTGTGATTAATCTGCATTTATTACTACTGTCATATTTGTTTATAGCTAATCAATCAAGACTAAATAAAAATACAGTCTGCAGAACTCAATGTACAAACTGTACATCATCTACCTTACTCAGTTTCTAACATAAAGATTCCATTCAGTTTTCCAATCCATAAAAATGATTTACAGCATTTAGATTTTTATGTGATGGTTAAAAATAATTCAACTTAAGCAATAAAATATTTAAAAAAGAGGAATTAAATGGGTTGTTTATTTAATGTTCTTTTTTGTGTATTTGTATGGTACTGCAGAACCTGACAAATTTTGTTGTTGACTACTCGATTACTCGCCAAAATAATCTATATATTACTCGATTACTATAATATTTGTTTAAAAACAGCCCTAGTCTACTGTTGTCATGTGTGCTCTTTGTTTAAATCAGGTCCCTCTTGTAAATGAATCCTTGAGGCTCAGTGAGACTAACCTGTATAAATAAAGGTTGAATGAATGTGATAACTTGAAAAGTAAGTGGCTGAAAAATAATCCATGAAGCTGATAAGCTGTAGCTATTGAAATACATCAGACATTAAAGACTGTATTGCATTTAATTTTTTGGAATACGTTTCTGCTGAGACACCAGTGAAAATCTGCAGCTTTGTGGTTCTCACCTCCTGGTCGTCCATGTTGCTGGAGCAGCGGATGAGCGTGGCCCAGCCTTTCGGGTGGAGCTGCAGGGATGTGATGCAGTTGCCCCGGTCCTTCTCTCCTGGGATTTCAGGTGTTAAAACCTCCAGACTGTTCCTTGGAGAAAGGCCTGAGAGGAAAAAAAGTCAAAAGTTGTAAGGATGCTAAGGTGACGCCCAGCAGTTTGGATTATACGGAGATGGTCTCAGACCTTCTCTGTGAGGATGAATCTTGCTGGAGTCGTTTCCCTGGCGAGCAGTCGCTGATGCTCTGGATGCTGAGGTGCCTCCATCTACAGAACCCCAATCATCATTAAAGGTCACATTCCCGCCAACATGAAAAAATAATCAAACTGACGTTCTCACAATTAACTACTAATACAACGCAAAGCAGTCATTTTCACAATATTGGGTTAAATTACAGCATATATATATGTATATATATATTTTTTTTTTACATTTTGTGATGCATGCAATTTGTGCAATTAGATATGAAACTTTCAAAAAGCTGACTTTTGAAGTCAGTTCAATTGAAAACGTGTCACCTCTGCTAATTCATTTTAGTCAACACAAAAAATAAAAGTCAGTCAATTTTACACATAGTGAGGTAAAATTTGACGTGGTAGTAGCAGAGAAACACCCACAGCATTTACTCTGAGCGTGACATCAGGTGAGATTACTCATAACATTTTCCACTTTTTGTTTATCCGTTGCAAGAGAAGCTCTGCTCCAACCTGAGCTGAGGGGCGTCCGTCGTGCACGCAGCATGCGGTAGCTGCCCACTTCAAGGGACTGGGTGAGGTCCAGGTCATGAAGGATGAGCAGGTACCCCGAGGAAGTAGAGATGAGCATCTTGGAACAGTCCGGCGTCAGACGCATCCTCATCAGGTAGCGAGTGTGGAAGAACTTTTTGTGCGGGCAGCCATCTTCTGTAAATCTGCAGGAGAGAGTTATAAAGTTTTAGCTGAACGCTAACATTTGTCATTTATTCTGATGAAACTTTGGGAGACGAGGCTTCTTCAAAGTCTGACGAGTTAATCAGAAGCACAGTCTGGATTAAGAAAAATAAATGGTTTAAGGATTTATTCAATAGAAAAATAAAAAGCTTTTATGAACGTAAAGAAAATTAACTCATTAACTGAACTAAAATGTATTAAAATTATCCCTTTGAAAATTGACGATGCAAATCCTGTAAAGATGGCCGACCTGTTGGTGTCCCACGTGATGACGTTGCCGTCAAAGCCAGATGTAACCAGGAGTCGAGTGTTGGTGTCGTACTCGATGTTCTTCACCCAGCTGGCGTGGCCGTGCAACGAGCACACCTTTGAGTTCAGCTTGCGCAGGTCCCACAATGCAATTGTGGTGTCGTCGGAGCAGGTGGCAAACAAACGATTGTCTAAAAACCTACAGAAACAGGGCAGCCGCTATTCATTTACACTGATCTAGACATTATATTCCCTGTGTAATCCCTACCAATCTCATCTAACTTTCACAAAAAATAGAGAATTTAATTCTTGTTGTCATCCTGAACCCTTACATTTATTTGTTTTGAATCTTTAAGCATATAGTATGTTTTAATCGTGTTATCAGTTTAGGACAGGGGTCTGCAACCTGCGGCTCTTTGGCCCCCCTACAGCGGCTCTTTCAAGCTTTGACCAAAACTAACATAAAACTGAATTTTATTGGTTGTTATACAAACAACAACAACAAAAGACTAGTTTGAGCAGTTTTCCTGTCATTTCCTTTGCAAATATGTGAATGCTGGAACTAGTACAAGGATTAAAACATACTAACTTTATGCTTTTTTTTCTCTCTACTAAATACATTTTTCCACAAAAAAAAAAAAATCACATAGGTCTGCATAGTCCTTTTTTAAACTACTGTATTTCCCCCCTCTTTGCAATAATCTGATCTTTTCATTTGTCTTAAATTAAATTGTGTTAAAAGCTGAAAATGCATAATGATTTTTAACATTTATTGATATTTTAAAGCCACCTCCAACAAGCCTAAAGTGGCCCATGGACCACCAGTTGATAATCACAGTTAGCAGGTTGTTGCAGCTCTGAACACTTTTAATTTAGTGAACGAAGGTAGAAAAATGGTTATATTGATTGTAAATGTTGCAGACCCCTGGTTTATGAGATATGACAGAAATGAACCTTATGTTGTTGACACAGTCTTCATGGGCCTCTGTCAGGGTTCTGATGTGCCTGGATGAAACTGGATCAAACAGGAGGACCTCGGTCTGCTCACAGGCCACAGTTAGCACAGACCTGATATGAGGGAACACGCAAATCAAAATCACTCACAAGATGCAACAGGAGAATGGTGTTTATCTGATCATGATACAATTCCAATAAAAAAAATAGGAACATTATATAAAATGTCAAACTGAGTATCCATTATCAAACTATCCATTTTGTTGTCCATGCAGGGTCATGGGGGTGCAGGTGCCTATCTCCAGCAGTCGCTGTGAAAGAGGTGGGATACACCCCGGACAGGTCCCAAGTCCGTTACAGAGAGACGAACAATCATTCACACTCTCACTTACACCTGGTGCCATTTTAGTTACAAATTAACCAAACATGCATAGTTCATGTCAGTGGGAGGGAACCAGAGCACCTGGAGAAAACCCACACGTGCAAACTCCACACTGAATAAAAACAAAACGGCCATTTCTGTTTCAAATGTCATTTAAAAAGGACTGAAGCAAATCGGAAAAACTGTTCTGTGGTCCAAAAAAAATGAATAAATAAATAAAACTTTTTTTTCCCTTCTAAATCACAGACACCATGTCCTCTGTACTAAAGAGAAGAACTATTTAGCCTAGCACAGTTCAAAAGCCTGCCTCTCTGATGGTATGGGGGTGCATTTATGACTATGGCATGGGCAGCTTATACATCTAGAAAAAAATCCAATGAGTGTTTTGCAGTTTTCCTTGAAATGGAAGACCTCAGCTGCTATTATACTTACAATAAGCAACATTAAAGCACTAATAAGCATGGCACAGATAGCAGCAGCTCTGACAACAAGCTGGGAGGTAAGAATGGATCCGTTTTCTGATTTAGTCCCCAGTATGGCCAGCTAACTGAGGCTACAGAAAGGACTAGCAGCTCTGATCACACAAACAAACGAGAGCCAGATTAGACAGCTTGACCCTGTTTGGCTGCAGGATTTACTCCTCACATCTGCCGTGAACCCCCGCAGAGCTCAGCGTTTGTAACAGCTGTCTGCCTTTAAAGCCCAAGGTTTTATTCTGCTCTTGTGCATTTATTTAAAGGGATTTTTGCAAGTGAAGCCCCACAGGTTTACGTCATATAGGCCTGACATCCAGACTAAATGTTGTGGTCTTACCCGTCCGGGGAGTACTCCAGGTTGAACACGGCTCCGTGGGTCTGGGTGCTCAGATTGACTGACTCCACAGCTGGATTCATTGAGCAGTACAGACTGGTCATTGTCCTAAAGTTATCCCGAGCTGGATCCACGAACAAACCCCGTCGTATAGTCCTGCTCCGCAGCCAGGAAAACAGACTATCCCCCCGGCTCCCGCCGCTCCCACTCTGCGGCGCAGCGGCCGCCGAGCAGCGGGCTTTTGGCTTGTCCGCCCCGGGAGAGCCCGCTGGCTCCGGCTGGTCCCCGCTGCTTCCCGGCTGCGAAGGAGACACCCTCCTAGCATGGTCATTTTCGTCGTCCGACTCATCGATATCAGGTTCTTCATCTTTGTCTGAGACGCTGCCGGTGTTGTCAGGCCTGTCCTGGGACTCCTCGGCGTCGCTCCGGTGCTCGGCGCTCATTGTAGCTTCCGCACGGCCGCTTGGTGTCGGGGAGCAGCCTCTCAGCTCAGCGGGGAGAAGCAGAGTCAAATAATGACTTCTTTCTGCACTTGTTTAAGATAGCAGGGCACTTTAGCTGCATGCTCACGGTCGATTTGTTTCCAGTTTTGGCAGCTCCTCGTCGCCTGCCCGTAAAAACAAACATTAGCTAAATTTGACCGGAAACCAGCTGCTTGACCTTCAAAATAAAAGCGCAGAAATCAAGAGACGCCGCTGTCAGTCGAGAAAAAAAAACAAATGTGTTTTGCTGAAAAAAAAAAAAGAAGTCGAAGATTTGAAACATATGGAAAAGAAGAAGCCGTTAAATTATTTATTCCTCAAGCCCAAAACAAACATGTATATAGTAAACAAATTCAAATTCTCATAACAGTCCATGGTATAAAAAATATTAACACTCTTGGGACGTGAACTCGATTAACTATTCAAGCAGGCAAAAAAAAAAAAAAAAAAAATCTTAAACGTTAAACCTGAAAAGCCGATGCGGATGTTTGAATATAATTTTACCTTTCAGATTTCGTAAATAATAATAATAAAGACAAAGACGTAGTTCCGCTTCCGGTGGCTTTTTTTGTTTTATCTGGCTCGTTGCTGCCACCTGTTGAGCAGATGTTGCATGTGCAGTTTTAAATTGTATGCACAGTTTGTGCTGACGTGAAAGTAACAGAGTAATACAAACTTCTAAAGGAAGCACAGGCACAGTAATATTGTAAAAAAAAAAAAAAGACATGAATTCACAAACTTCACAAAGCTTATTATTTATTTTACTTCTTTTCTGGGGTTGCCACAGCAAGTCATCCTCCTCCATTATCACACTTTGCATCCTCTGCCCCCAATAAATCCATGTCCTCTATAACTGCATCCATATATCTCCTCGTTGGTCCTTCTTTGTATACATTTTTCCTGGCAGGTGCATTTCTAACAGCCTTATCCCAATACATTTTACACTTTTACCCTCCTCTGGACAATCTCAGTTTGGCTTAGTCTCTAGCTTTATCTCTTTGTCATTCAACTTGTGTTGTACCTCTGATTCTCTCATTCCTAATATACATCCATGTCTCTCTCAAGAAGAACCTCAATATATTCATTTCTTCCTCTTTTAATTCTTTCTCCTGTTCTTTTATAAATGCCACTGTCTCCATGTTAAACGACTACATACTGTATTTTTAAAAGTCGACTTTAACATGCTAAAAGCCGAGTTGGCTTCGACTAGTCGATTACATCATAGGAACTCAAGACACTATATATTTTTTTTTTTCTAAGAAAAAAAGTAATTTATTATTTACACAAAAAAAAAAAGGAACAACAAAACATCAGGCGTATATGCTCCTATCATTTATCATACTGTACAAATAAGTCAAAGGAAAAGCAAAACTATTATCAAGCTGCAAAAATGCTGCTGTTTTCAGTTTTATTTTATTTAATCCACCACATGGATTGGGTGGAATAGGGTTGGGAACAGTGGGGGAGGGTGGTGGTGTGCGACTAGTCGACTCGAAATATAACAACTCGTGAGACGATCTAAAACCGACTAGTCGATTAGTCCGTTCAACCCCTACTCCATACTATGCATCACAGCTGCTCTCACTACTCTCTAACCTTCCCTTTTACTTTTGCTGCCAACCTTTTGTCACACAAATCCATCCTGAAACTTTTCTCCATCCTGCCTGGACTCCCTGCTTCAATTCTTTACCACACCATTTTCCCAGGCTGTCAACCCTAAGTACTTGAAGTCCTGCACCTTTGTGACCTCTGCCCCTTGTAACCTCATGTTCCACCTGCCTCCCTCCCATTCACACACACGCAGTCTGTCGTGCTATGAGTGATTTTCACGCCTCTTCTTTCAAGTGCATACTACTGTATAATGACTGTTGTCCTTATTAAAGACAGGAATGAGACTATGAAATGAAGTTCTTAAGCTAAAGTTGTCTTTTATGTCTGCATTTGTACAAAAATGAGAGAAGTATGGAGCGAAAACACTTGGTTTTGTCTCAGGCAGTTCTTTGCTGAGCACAGGAAGGGACAAGGAATTTAAACATTACAAAAAAAAAAAAAAAGCTAAATTTCTTGGCATAAAAGACTCAAATACAAACACAACAACATTCCCTCCCCTTTGGTCATGTCATGATGACACTGGAAAAATTCTTACAAAGACTGACTGAGAAACAATTCAGTGTCCCTCCTAAACAGGTAAGTGACAAGTTTCAGGTAAGTTTCTGTTTTTGTGGGCACAGTTACCCAGTAGCACCAGTCACAATGTCTCTTTGTCAATGGTGTAAATCTGCAGTGAGTTTCCAGCATTATCATCATCCCTCCTTTTGACGCATAATCCAAACCATGGGTCAGTTTAGTATAATGCACTTAAAATGTTTAGGTAGGTGAGGATTATCATTTGGGCCTTTCAACAACCGTATGTGAGAATATAGCCACGTTGTTTCTAAATTTAGCATTTATCTGGTGTAGAGTAAAACTGCATTACCTTCCTGCAGAAGTCTGTGGAACAGAACCAGAACCAGAACAGGAAGCAAGAGACATTAGGAATGATGAATAGTAAGATGCAATGTACTCTGGCGTAGAATCAGTCAAAGATTTTACTGACATAGACATTTCTTCCAAAGATATGTCATCAAGCTCAAATGACTTCTTCTTTTCTTTTCTTCTTGTTTGGTGTATGAATGTGATAAAGCTCTGATTAGTCTCTTTGGAATGATTTGTTCAATTAGCTTTGTAGAGATCTAGTAGAGTGCTGTATGAATGGATAAATGAGGACACAGATTGTAGTGTAAAGCGCTTTGAGTATCTTGAAATAAGATAGAAAGGCGCTATATAAATACAGTCCGTTTACCATTTTCTCTTCAAAGTTTTCAAGACTTCATACTCGCTCATTTTCTCCAACTCCTTTAGTCCACAGTTTCCATGACTTCAGCTTTACTTTCCTTTTAATTCTCTTCATTCATTAGCTCCTCCATCCATCTTCCCATCACACTCTACTCACTTGTTAAACATTATAATTTATATTATTAACAACACTAACCTGCTGCACATCCTTTCCAGTCTGACCCATCTGTCTCTCTGGTTGAAAGAAATCCTTCTCTCCCCACTTTGTGTGCAGCCTTTTGTACAGCTCCCTCTTCTGTTCTGCTTTTTCTACCTCCCTCTTTTCCCTACTTCCATCTCCTTGTATTTATGTTGAACCTCTTCAGTCCTGTAATTGTTCTATTTCTTCTAGGCTAACCTCTTCTTGTTGATAGCTTCCTGTCATTTTCCACTTCACTAGTCCACCAATACATTTCCTTATCTCTGTCCAGATGACACACCAAGTACCTTCCTACCTGTCTCTCTAATTACTGTTGCTGTAGAAGCCCAGTCATCTGGAAGCTCTTTCTTACCACCCAGAGGCTTTAACAGCTACTCACAACGTTCTTCCTTCCTCAACTTTCACCATTTGATCTTCTCTTCTGACTTTACTGTTTTCCTCTTCTTCCCCACAACAGTCAACTTACACACATCATCCAATGCTGTCTGGCCACACTCTCTCCTGACACAACCTTACAGTCCTCAATCTCCCTCAGGTTTCCTCTTCTACACATAGTTTACCTGCGTACTCCTGCCTCCACTCTTATAGGTCATTCTGTGTTCCTCCCTCTTTTGGGAACAAGTGTTCAGTCATTTCCATTCTCTTGGCAAAATTCACCACCATTCCTGGTTTCTTTCCTTGACACCAAACCCCCCCCTCACTTCCCCCTCCCCCCCCCCCCCCCCCCCCATTTCCTTCCCCACATGTCCATTCAGATCCTCTGGAGGATTTATTTTTGTTGAAATGTTTCGCCTTACATCTAGAAGCCTTCATCAGTCCAATTGAGGAGCCACAACAAACTCAGTCATATAAATAGCACCTTCACACAATGGGTCAACAAGTTTGATGGTGCTCAGATGATTTCTGGAGTCCGCCCTCTCCCCCACCAACTCGTTTGAGGCAGTGATGTCCAAAGTGGTTCAAACCACTGATGATGTCTTTTAGATGAAAGATGAAACGTTTGAAACTGTCCAGGGGACCTGACTTAACTTTGTTGGATTTTTCTTCCTGGATTATTGAGCATGAATCAAGATGTTTGGTGACATGACTGCCTCAAAATAGTCGGCCAGGGAAAGGGCGGACTCCAGAAACCATCTGAGCACCATCAAACTGGTGGATGTGAAGGTGATATTTATAAGACTGAGTTTGCTGTGGCTTCTTAATTGGACTGATGAAGTCTTTTGGATGAAAGATGAAATGTTTCAACAAAAATAAACCATCCAGAGAACCTGACTTAACTTTGTTGGATTTTTCTACCTGGATTATTGAGCATGAATCAAGCTGTCCATTCAGGTCTGCTCCGATCACCACGCTCTCCTCCCTGGGAATACTCTCTACCACTTCATCCAGATCCTTCCAGACTTTATCTTTTTTTTCTCTACCTCACATCCAACCTGTGGAGCAAAACCATCCATCCATCCATCCATCCATCCATTATCTTTACCCGCTTATTCCATTTTTGGTCACGGGGGTCGCTGGTGCCCATGTCCAGCTATCACTGTGCGAGGGGCGGGGTACACCCTGGATGGGTCACAAGTCCATCACAGGGCCACACAGAGACAAACGACACAAACAACCATTCATTCTCTCATTCACACCTAGGGACAATTTAGAGTTACCAATCAGCCTAACATGCATGTTTTTGGTCTGTGGGAGGAAACCGGAGCACCCGGTGAAAACCCACGCATGCACGGAGAGAACATGCAAACTCCACCCAGAAGGCCCCTGGACCGGGGTTTGAACCAGCTTGCTGAGAGGCAGCAGCTCTACCAGTTGCGCCACCGTGCTGCCCGTGGAGCAAAACCACTGACAACATTTAGCATCAGACCATCTACAGTACTTCTACCTTCAGACACATCAACCTATCTGACACTCTTTTCACCTTGGGGCAGCTGTGGCTGAGTGGTTAGAGCAGTCGTCCTCCAATGCAAGAATTTGGGTTTTGATTCTACCAGCAGTCACATGCTGAAGTGTCCCTGGGCAAGACACTGAACCCTTCATGGCCTCCGATTTGTGTCCCATTGGTGTATGAATGTGATAAAGCTCTGATTATTCTTTGTACAGATATAGTAGAGCGC